GTGGAGATTGACCACGGGGTCATATTCGGATGCGCAGAGGGCTGCGGTTTCATGGGATCAGTTCAGAGAGATGTTCAACACTCGTTATGTTCCGCGGGTTTAGAGAGAGAGATTGGCTCAGGAGTTCCTGGAGCTGAAGCAGGGTTCAGAGTCGGTGACTGAGATCACCCGGATGTTCACTGAGAGGGCGATGTTCTGCCTTGAGTTCGTTGCGGAGCAGGCTCAGATGTCTCGATACCTGAGTATGCTCAAGAGGGATATCAGACAGTTTGTGTCTACGCAGAGGTGCGAGACTTTATTGGAGTTGCAGGAGGCCGCCAGGCGGCATGAGTTGGAGCTTGAGTTGCAGTTACGAGAGCATAGGTAGGCTCCGGTGCAGTTGCAGTCAGCGCCGAAACGGTCTACGACCGTTTATTCTAGATTGGGAGATCAGAGCAGCTACACTTGCGGGAAGTGTGGGAGGGGTCACACCGGAGTTTGTCGATCCGGTGGTGCATGCCGCAAGTGCGGAAAGGAGGGGCACTATGCGAGGGATTGTCGGCAGGCAGTTCCGAGTCGGGATTTGAGGATCTGTTATCATTGTCATCAGGTTGGGAACTTGAGGATCAACTGTCCACAACTTACTGTAGGATCGGTGCAGGCTCCAGCACCGGCCATGTTGAGGATCACGGGTGGAGGTTAGGGTGGAGCAGAGCCCCCAAGGGCTCAGGGTTGTGCTTTCCAGCTTATAACGGAGGAGGTCAGGGCTGTGCCGGATGCAGCTGCGGGTATGTTCTTCTTGATGTCTTATTATTTTATGAGTATTGTGGAGTATCGTTTATATGCTAGTCTCGTTGCATGGTTTTCGATATTGTATTCTTTGATTTTGAGGGTTATGGCATGGTTATGGGCTTAGTGTTAGAAATTTCGTTGATTATCATTCATGAGGATTGTTCGTGGGAATCGGGTGTTGGTTTGGATATTAAGCAACATTTTCAGTTTGAGGAGTGGTTAGCTGAGGATCGATTTCTTTCGTGCTGGGATCATCAGTATTGTTATGCGATTGGTAAAGGTTGTATGTGTTAGTGGGAAACGGTTCGCGTGAAAGAGTATGTGTCGTGAAGGGTTGTTGAGGGAGGTCGGTGATGGCGACCGGTGGTTGATAGTTAGTGCTCTAAGTGGGGGAGAATTGGAGAATTCTCCGGAGGATCGACGAGTATGAAAGGTTGTTTAGCTGCATGGGATTCAGTAGTGCCTCGGTCAGCCAAGGACATAGGCTGGTATGAGTAAATGGCAGGCGTGCGGGGAGGGATACAAACCATTAACGATTGATTGTGGAAGGCCTAGGATTGGGACGGGACTGAGTATATGGGATGGAGGTAGAGTTCGGAACCCTAGAGGGCCAGAACAGTATGCATGGGAGGAGTTTCCCGAAGGAGTAACTCGGAATGTTGATTGCTAGTTTAGCGGTCCGGATAGACTGAAGGCCGGTAGGTGTACCAGTCAGGCCGAAGGCTCGGAGAACGGTCCAGCTAGACTGAAGGCCCTAGAGGGCGGTCCAGGTCTGCTGAAGGTTATGAGAATGGTCCAGTTGGCTGAAGGTCAGGTAAGGCGGTCCAGTCAAGCTGAAGACTCTACATGTGTTGTTAGATCGGTGCGAGGAAATGGATGAGTATGTCGCGATATGTTAGCGTTAAAAGGTCTGGCCTCGGATATTGATCGCGATTAGTGAAGGTAGTGCATGGACTTGAGAATCTTCGTGAGTGGATTCAAAGTATGTATGGTGCATGGGATGGCGGTTATGCCATAAGGAAATGGTGTAGTATTGGATGAGCACCATGGCACTTGTGATAGTGTAAAACTGAGCCAAGTGGATCTCCTTCGTAAGGAAAAAGGGAAGGAATGCAGCTCCAAGGGGGAGTGTAAGTCACGGAAGTGAAATAAGTAGCGCGAAGTTATGAATGAGGTGTTTCAATTATAGTTTGCGTAGTGTGTGCGGCGGTGATATGGAATCACATCCGGTTTGGATGTCTGCTGAGGTCACGGAAGGAAATTCCGAGCGTGTAAAGTCAAGAAGCTCGTAAGGGATGCAGGGATGGAGTTTTGGATTCCCAGCTTTATTTCGGTGAAGGAATTGTGTAGTAGTGGTTCATCCTGAGGGATGTTTTGAGGGTCGTCAGTGTGATGGGTTTTCCTAACCCGAGGGTGCTAGAGCTTGTTCAGCATGTGCATGTGATTACAAGAGGAGAACTCATGGGAGTTGCTTTGAAGAATGTGTCTTTCTGTCGGCATGGAATGGATAGAGTTGGACTCGGATCGGGAATCCGGTGGTGCATGGTTATTTATAGCTCATATGGGTCGAGTGATGGTTGTGAATTGAAGCGAGCGAAGTATTAGGGAGTGGTACTCAGTGGTTAGGTGTGGTTATCAAAGGATGAGGCCGGTGGATGGCTTGAAGCGGTGGTCAGGACACCGCAAGAGGGTAAGTTGGGTTTTGGCTTTCGATGAATGTGTTTTGAAGAATTGGTATGGTTAACGCCAGCAGGTGCATTGCAAGAGTAGTTCTGAAGTTGTGTTGCCACAGGCTTCGAGGACGAAGCCTAATTTAAGTGGGGGAGAATTGTAACATCCCGGAATATCAAGAGTAGAGTTGAAGGGCTAAAAGTGTAAAATTTGAAGGACAACTCGGTGAGTCCATGGGTGGACTCGGTGAGTAGATTCGCAACTCAGGTCGCGTGTTAAGTGGCCAACTCGGCGAGTCCAAAGCTGGACTCGACGAGTAGGCGCTGTGCGAAGAAAACCCTAATTTCAGCGAATGAGCCCTATATAAAGGACATTATACCCTCTCCCCAGCCTCCCTACCTTCCCTTGTAGTCCAGAAACCCTAGATACGCATTTGTGAAGGTTTTGAGTGCATTTGAGCCTTGGAGAAGGAAGTTGGAAGAAGATCTTGGAGAGTTAGGAGGCTTGGAGCAAGGGGCTTTGCTTAGATTCCGATTCCTTGCTGTTGGGGGCTTTATTTTGAGGTAATATCTCGTTCTTCGGGATGCTATTCTTTTAGAGTCATCATTTTGGGTTATATGGAAAGTTTGGCTTGTGGTATATGGAGTTTAAAGGTTAGATATGAGGTTGCTACCTCAGATCTGGAATTGAGAAGGTCTAGAGTGCATTAAAGTCCCTGTTAATGAGTGATTGGTGAAGCAATCTTGTCCCAAACCCTAGCCCTAAAGTGTAAATGCCTAGATCTCTTTGGATTCACGTAAAGTTTGCGACTTTACGTGATGGAATGGTTGTAGAAGGGTAGATCTATGTTTTGGATCGATTGCATGCCCTAAAAAGCTTCTGTATGGGTTAAGAACTAGTGGTACTTGGCGAATCACAAAGGTGTACTCGCGAGTTGCTTGAAAATGGACTGGAACTCGGCGAGTTGGAAGAACAACTCGGCGAGTAGGTTGAAAATAGCCTTGGACTCGACGAGTCTATTCTTGGACTCGGCGAGTCTAGTTGTGAGGTCCTAATATTCTTCTGGTTGAGTCATGAATCGGCGAGTCAAGGGAGGACTCGGTGAGTTGAGTGCGAAGGGACTTAGAGTTACGAGACTCGGCGAGTCTCGGGGTGACTCGGCGAGTTGAGTCGCGGATTGGGTAAGTTCTAAGCATGGGGAATCGACGAGTAATTGGGTTGGCTCGGCGAGTAGAGTCAGTCAGGAGGTTGACTTTGACTTTAACTTTGACCAAGGGTTGACCAGTTGATTTCCAGGGGTAATTTGGTAATTATTGGTATTTATTGGATTCAGTCCTTGGGTATTGACAGTGGTGGAGTTCGGGTCGGAGGTTGCAGCAGCGTGACCTTATCCTTTTCAGTCAGCAGTTGCGAGGTGAGTTATCCTCACTATATCAACAGGGTCTAAGGCACAAGGCCGACCCTTTATCGGATTGTAATTCGGGTATTATTGTTATATTGCTATTTTACTATGTTTGTATCCTGGTAGTTAGGATGGTATACGTTAGAGACCTGGTTAAGGTCGGTATCTTGGTATATAGGATGATGCTATGCTAGTGACCGGTTAGGTCGGTATCCTGCTTAGACTATGTTGTGTTACGTGATCTGCTAGATCGGTTTGATTGAATATGAATTGTTATATGATTGTATGTTTATGTGCACATGGTTGTTTGGACTGGAGTTGGGTTGACGCGGGTCCTGCTTTGTGCTGTAGGCCAAGATACCTAGGGCGGACTGGTTGTTCCGAAGGCCCAGCGAGCGGTCCGGATAGGTTGTAGGCCCCATGAGGCGGACCAGACGTGCCGAGGCTCCGAGAGTGTACGAGGTCGACCGAAGGCCTGATGCGGGCGGACCAGTCATACTGTAGACTCAGAGAGTGGACCAGGTGGGTTGAAGGCCCGGTGCGGGCGGACCAACCACACTGCAGACTCGAGGGACATGACTGGACTCAGAGGGTGGACCAGGTGGACTGAAGGCCCGACACGGCGGACCAGTCACACAGTAGACCCGATATGCATGGCTGTTCTGTGATTCGTTATGATATAGCATGTTATGTGTATGGTATATGTGGTTGGTATTTTGGGGGTATCTCAGTAAGCTTTCAGGCTTACAGTTGTGGTTTAATGTTTTTCAGGTTCTTCAGGAGATCGTGGCAAGGCAAAGGCGTGATCGTACCGCTCCTCGTCTTTATGTTTTATGATATGGACAATGGAATACTCTGATAATAAATGTATTGAAAACCTTTTTGTAATAACTTAATGAATTGGGATGTTTTTGAAAAGTTTAAATTTTGTTGAAATTTTTGGTCGTTACACATATGATAATAAAAAAAAATATGAATACATATGTTTTATTCGAATATTTAGTCGTGAATATTTATGTTATATTCACATATGAATAAAACATAACTTGCTGCAATACATATAATATTCAAATGTGAATACAACAAGAATGACTTACATATGTTCTATTCACATATGAATATATCAAAACATATTCATATGTGAATAAAAAAAATATGAATACATATGTTTTATTCAAATATTCAGTCGTGAATATGTATGTTATATTCACATATGAATAGAACATAGCTATTGAAGGAAAGGAATTGAAAGTAACAGCAGAGTCTGTTCATGACACGTTGGGCATACCAATTGGTGGAAACAAACTTACACAACTGGATCAATGGCCTAAGGATGATACAAGTTATGATGAATGGAAGCAACAATTTAAAACGGATTCAATCATCCGACTGACTACAATCAAAAATGTTATTGTTTCTACCACACAAGTTGATTTTAATTTCAAATTGAACTTCTTAGTTCTTTTTGTCAACACTTTTTGCGAGTCAACATCAATGGGAAGATGTAACATGTTTCCCTTGAGTTATATTTCAAGAAAAACAAATATCAACAACATAAACTGGTGCAGCTATGTTTTGAATTGTCTTGTTAGAACAAAAAACTCATACATACCATACTCAGATAACAACTTCTTTGTTGGGCCTTCAGCTTTCTTGGTGGTAAGTTATTATAATGTTTATACTAAATTTTTAATAATATTGATTATTCATAAACTAATAGCAAATATTCATATATTAATAAGAAAAGTATATTTGTTCACACATAATGCTTTACATTACTTATTCATTTATGAATAAGTAAAAAATAATATTACTTGTTCATATATGAATATCAATTAGTTATCATTTATGTACAATTGTTCTATGCTGATAACATCCACTCATAAGCTTTAACAGTAACACATAAACGTCCAACAATTTGTTATTGGAGTTCAGAGAATATTAGATATTGAGAGACATTTGAACAAGAAAAAGGTAGATTTAGAGTTGGAGAATTAAACGAAGAATTTGTTAATGAACAAAATGAAGGAGATACAGATCTCGAAGACAGTGATTCTGATAAAGATGAAGATCATTATGTTGAGGTAATTAGTTTTAACATGTTAATAATATATAATTACATTAAATTATTATATTAAATTCTAATCATATACTTCTTTTTGTTACATAGACATATGAATCAAAAATATCAAAAATGCTTAATAGTTTTGAGAGGGTGAAGGAAAAGCTGAATTCAAAGCTTAATGATGCGATGACAAAGTTCCCTGAAAAGGAAAGTTTTAGAATTTTCAAAGAAAATATGAAAAATATGATTGTTGAAGAAAAAACTAAAAGCACAACACTTTTTAATTTTCCAATTAATGAAACTGGAGTTGAAGGATTCAATTTAACACCAATAATGGGTCAAAAAACAAATGATCAAACAGAAAATGAAGATAAAGAGGGAAATGGTGAAGAAGACAGTGATAATGGTGCAAGTCAACCAGAAGTAGATTATTTGCTAGATTCAAATGAAGCAGATAATGAAGGAATAAAGAATGATGCAGATAAAAATAAAAAAGAAGATGAAATTGGAGTAAAAGAGAAAGATGGAAAAAGGAATGAAAATCAGAATGATGAAGAGGAAAAAGATGATCATGCTGAGGAAACAAATAATCATGAAGAGACTATTCAACAAACTAAAAATGAAAATTTGTTGGATAAAATTGTTGACAACATTGTGGACAAAGTCCTTGGAATTGGAGTTTCAAGTTTAAATAATCAAGAAGATGAAATCTGGAATCACCCTGAAATGAAAACTATTTTCGATAATATTGATATAGGTAAATTTTGTCTTACTTTTATTTTAAAAAAATATATAAAAATATCAATACACAATAACAATTTTGTTTGTTAAATTTTGACCAGGGTCACCAATAAGTATAGGTAAAACTAATACTCTTGCAGAAAAGGAAAAATTAGAAGGTGTACATGAACAAGGAACAAAAGTTGAAAAAACAAAGGGAGATGATATAGGTAAATGAATGATTTAAAATATATTACAATATTTATATTGATTTTTTTAATAACATTGTTTATTCATAAGTGAATAATACACTTTATAAATGAATAAAAAATAAAAAATATTCATACATGATGTATATGTTTCAGGCATGGAAAACTATGAAGATAGAAATGAAGGAGGAACAGAAGCTAAGAACAAGAAAGATGGAGGTGAAGAAAAACAAACAAAAATTGAAAAAGGAAATGCAGAAGATAGAGGTAAATAGTTGATTCACTAATAATTGAATATAGTAAGTTTTATTATTCATAAATGAATAACACAATATATGAATAAATAAAAAAATATAGTATTAATTATTCATAAATAATGATATGTATTACTTATTCATAAATAAATACATTACTTATTCACATATGAATTACTTAATCACAGTTCTTTATCGTTCAGGAAAGAAAAAGTCAGAAAATCAAAATAAGAAAGGAGAAAAAGCTAACAAGACAAAAGGAAATAAAGGAGGTAACAATTTTGATAAACATTTCAAAATAAACTCACATATTATAATTAACTTACAACTATTTATATGATAAATCTCCTAGCATGCAGATACTCATCCAAGCTTTAGTCTAGGTCTCAGTCAAGATTCAGATCAAACTTCAAGTAAAAAATCTTAATCCAAATCAAAGACGACCATCAGAAGGTTGTTATCAGATTAGCAAAGAAAAATGTTCTTAATCCAAATCCAATCTGTGTATCAATTCCTACTGAGTAGGACCATCAAAGCATGATCTGGATCAACCAAGAGAGAAGAAGCTTGCTGATGCTTTCAAATCACCTTTCAAATGCAGAATAACAGACACAAAACCCAAACTGACACATCAGGAGAGTATTGTCTGTGAATGGTTGTTCAACTTACAAGGCAATACATCGTAAGTAACTATTTTATATACATTCATATATGATTATTATATAGATAATAATCTATTACATTTTGATTATATATTTGCAGAGATGTGGTTTTCCAGACAAAATATGGTCAGATAGCAGAAAGAGCAGTTATGGAAAGTCTATATGCAAACACAAAGATTTTTGGAGAAGTTTTAGACACTTGGTCTGATTTACTTAACCACCAAGAACTGGAAAGGGATTTTGGAAATTTACCATACAGACTTTTCTTGAAAGTTGGAGTTTCTGTAAGTTTATGTTCTCACCTTAATTCCTTCCTTATTCATAAATGAATACACCAATATGATGTATTCATTTATGAATATTATATTTTTTTACAACTTAAATTCACATATGATTATACAAATATGATGTACTCTTTAACATAATTATATATATTCAATTGAAATTCACATATAATTATATTGGTTACATACTGCTTATCTAACTTCAACATTGTCTGATGAAAGAAAGTATGAAAAATTCAAGGAGAACTTTCATGACAGTACCAATGGGTACAAAAAAATTTTGAACATAAAAGATACTGACATGGTATGTTAATTAAAGTTGTTTTTATATATATTTTATCAAAAAAATACTTAGCATTATATACATAAAAACAGTTATTCTTTCCAGTTGTTAGAAGTCCTCACATTTTTGTGATTGTCTTCAACTTAAAGAAACCATCAATTGAAATTCTAGACAATAGTGAAGTTGAGGGGGATTATGAAGGGAAATATGGAGTAATATTGAAAACTTTGGTATGTACCCAGTTCACAACAACATAAAAGAACCAATTTATTACATATCTAACTTTTATTTTATTTAATGATCAAAAAAATTTGTTTGTGAGATACTTAAAAGAAATAAACCATCCAAGAGCAAATGCAATCTCAAAAGAAAGTATCAAACCGCAACGACTTGAAATGTCATGGAGATTAGTTAAAAACAAAGTTGATTGTGGGGTCTTTTCAATGAGACATATGGAGACATATATGGGACAACCACTCTCAAAGTGTAAACCAGGTCTTCATAAATAAAGTGCAGTTCAACAAACTACTTTAGAGAAGCTCAGGCAAAGATATGCACACATAATGCTAACTTCTGAAATTAACATGTTGAAGGCTAAGGTGTTGGATCTTGCTGAAAAATATCAAAAAGTTGAATTCAAAGTGCGTACTGATCATGCATACAAGGCTATGAAAACAATTCAAAAAAGGTTAAAAGAATATTGATGATTAATTGTGAAGATGAAAGAATGTTGAAGTGTGATGCTATAGAACAGTTTGTGTTGACGATGAATGGATTTGAAGTACATGTAAGATGATTCTGCGAAACAAGTTTTAAATTGTTTGTTAAATGTTGTTGAATATCGTTTTAATATTTTGTGAAATGCTTATGAACAACTTTTATTATCTTGTGTTGAATGATTATGTAATAGAAACAACTTCGCTTATTTATGTCAGTTTGCTTATTTATGTCATTTTTTTATATTCAAATATTTTCAAACTTTATTTTTATTTATTCATAAATGAATACGAATACGATATACTCATTTATGAATAAGTTCAATGTAATATGTTAGTATAACAAAGTTCAGATATTAACATAAAAAAGTTCAGATATGAATATTACTTATTTATTAGTATAACAAATTTCACATATTTGTATTCATTTATAAATAATTTACAATATCAATATAACTTATTTTATAATAATTTAAAAAACAAATATCAACATATCAATTTACCATATCAATATAAATGTGTATTATTCATACATGAATATTATTGTTTATTGTTTTTATCTGCATATATTCATAAATGAATTAAAAAAAACAAAAACAAAAAATCCCTAAGTGTCTTTAGCTGATTTAGCGGCTCCAACTCTTTCTGGACAAGTACGTAAATTGTGTGGAACTCGTTTTCCACATCCTGAACACATTCTATGTTCATTTTTAGAATTTTCATATGCTACTTCACCTACACTTGGAATTCTTTTCTTGATTCCAGAACCTTTATTGCTTTGAACTTCAGGAACATGAATATTAATCTCTTCTGGAATAGGAATAGTAACACCCAAAAACTTGCATACGACTTCACCATCACTCTCAAATTCCTTCAACAACATTTTTTGTTTCTCAGCAAACAAAGCCAATCTCTTTTTTTCATCGCTTACAATATCTAAACATGATTCAAAACTATAATATGAATCATTGACTAGCTTTACATTCTCACAATCACCTGAATCGGATTGAACAGAACTAAAACAATAATATCTTGATATCACATCCTTTCTCCATCTCTTCAAAATGTACCTTTCAGGAATTTCTTTAACACCAAATCTCATCATTATTGTAAAAGCATGTTTGCATAAAACACCCATACGCTTAAAATGTTCACAACTGCAATTTATTTCTTTCTCTTCAGCTTTTATTTCAACCTGATACAAAAACAAAATTTACACATTTACATTCATATAAGAATACTCATATCAACACTCATATATTCATATATTCATATAATATTCATATATGAATATATGAATATTATTACATTTTTCATAAAAAAAACAAGTAAAATTACCTTAAATTCATTTTTAAAATCACTTTTACTGTTGTTGTGCTGCACAATGTAAACTTCCCAACCATCATCAATACCAACATATGTGTATGTACAGAAAAAACATGCTTTATATATTTATTTTTTCACCTCAAAAAATAATGTACTTTTATAAACCTTTGATGCTTGTATTTCTATTTCACGAGGTGTTTGCATTTTTTATGATGCTTTCTTTGATGCCTTATCAAGCTCTCGTTGAGTATTCCTTTGCTTTTGAATGGCAGTGTCGTAATTCATCAAGAAATTCAAAAGTAAGTTCCCACTTTCTGAATATGTATTAAAGAATGAATTCATACTCACTGACCTCGATATAGTCTTCATCAAACCACACATTAGAATATCACTAAAATATCCAGGTATCCATGAATCACGTATTGTAAACATGTCTTTAAACCATCTTGTGTCTTCAAGATTGAATTCCTTCATAAGAAAACTCGACTTCACGTCAAAAACATCAGGTTTCATATTAATGTGCCAAACAAGCTTCAAAAGCCTTTTTCTAAAGTCTGTGTTTGTAAATAAATCATATGATATCTGTACTAAAACAAAAAGATTCACCAATGAATAAATAATAATAAGTAAAATAACAATCAATATTCATAAATGAATATACAAATAAGTAATATATTTGAAATATATTAAAATAATACCTTTTTTGTCACAACTATAAATTTTTTGTGCCTTGTAACTACAACACTTATGTCAATTATGAATCAAAAACATGAAAGCATGCATGATGCTTACTCTATGACAACAAAATTTCAATCAAACACTTCATACAAGCACTACAAATAGTCAACAAGTAATTGGAAACCCTAGAAGTCCTTGTTTAAGTGCATTTTGGACTAGGACTTCCTTATTGGGCCCAATGGACCAATAAGCTTCCAATTGGAATATCTTGGGCTTAGAACTCTTAAATGGGCTTTAATTGGACCCATTTTCATTTATTTTAACATTTTGGGCCATATTGGGCCTAGAATGAAATAAAATACCCAAATGGAACATATTGGGCCATAATTAACCTAATTTAGCCCTAATAGGTTATACAAATCATATTTATAATTACTTGGGCCAAACATCATCTAACTTAACTATAATATGGGCTCAAGGTCAGAAAGCCCAAATCTTCTCTCTTTTCTCCTCACTCTCGGCCCAAACTTCAAACCCAAGAAGGAGGGTCGACTTTTGGCTAGCCACATCATTTTTATTTGGTGGATAACTAAGAATTATACTTCAAATATCCAAGTCCTCTCCCATAATTCCATGCAACCTCACTTCTCTCTTCCTCTCCATCTTTTTCCTTCGGCCGAGAGCAAGGGAATAAACACACACACCTCACAAAACTCTCTCTAAATCAATCAAGAATCATCCACTCTTCTTCATCCAAAATCTCGAAAATTTGACTTGATGTCTAAGGATCTTCATCAAGTAATTCATCACCTAAGGTCAGTTAATGGCTAACTTATGATCTAACTCCCTTCATTTCATCAAAATCTCTTCTAAATCCATTCAATCTTGTGATCTTGCACCTTAGAAGCTCTTTAAGTTCGAGATCTTCCAAGAAAGGTTGCTAGGGCCGAAAATAACAACAAACTCTTATCTTTTCTTCTTCAAAACCGTTCCACAACTCAAGGTGAGTTTCATACCCCCTTCTTTTCGGTTTTTATGAGTTTTATGGGGGGAGAATACAAGTAAATGTGTAGATCTATGTGTAAATGTATGCTATGTGTGATTTGATGCATGTATGTGTGTGATATTATGTGTTTGTGATGAATATGTTATCCAACAAGTGTGTAAAACCGAGATCTAAACCATGAGGAAGGAAATAAACATAACTTAAACTATTTTACACTAATCAAGTCAAGAAAAATATTTAATATGGTTAGGATGAACATACTTGAACATAAAATCCATTTTCTAACATAAAAAGTCAAAAATACAAAACTTAGGGGCCAAACCGACAAATTACCATTTACGGACATTCAAAAGGGTCCAAACAGTTTCTAAAATAAATTTTCTGAACATCAACATTTTTGAGGGGTTTAAAATGTAAATTTTGGATTTAATGGGCTAAAATTGGGCTTTTCGGCCCAATAAGCTTCAAATTGCAAGATTTTAAATTTGAGGGGCTAAGAATGCAATTTTCTGTAAATCAGGGGATTGGAAGTGTAATAAAACTATTCTAATGGTCAAAAATGCTTTTCATATTCAAGAAGGATCAAAAATGTAAAAAAATTCTATTTTGGGCCAAAACTGTCAAAGTTGCGAAATTAAGGGTTCTAACCGAGAAAACATCAACCTGGAAGGACTAAAGTTGTTTACAAAATAAATTTTGGCTAAAAATGTTTCTTCAACAAGTTTATGATACAAAAGTGTCAAAATAATGTTTTAAGGACTAAAAATCAAATTCTTTTTATATAAAGGACTATAAGTGCTATTTTTATAAAAGAAAGGTTGTGAAAAGGGACAAATCTTACTTTTAAACAACTAATTCATTAAGACAAAATAAAAGATCCACGGCTAACAATGAAACGTAATAACAAATACACTCTCAACAACCAATATCGTTACAAAACAAATAGATTTGGTCTCGAATCAATAACAAAACAAAACTCAATACACCATAGTATTTCAATAAACACGTGATAACTACGAGGAGTCAACATTCAATCTTTGCGCTTGAAAGTTTCAAATCGTGCTTTTTGGGCCTTGCTAGCCCAACAACATGATCTTTGGTCCCGAAGGGAACACACTTACATGTTAAAGGGCCTTCTATGACCCATTTACATGTAAAAGGACTTTCAATAGCTTTATTGTGCTATTGGGCCCTAATGGTCCATCAGTACTGCTAGTGAGGTCGAGAAGTCAAATGCGAGTCGGGCCAAGTGCCTTTCTCATTCCCGATAGCCTTGAATAACTTATGGAAATAAAGGGAGCTTCGTACCCTCCTTTCTCCTCGGTTGTTGGGCTTATGAGAATTCGAGTAATCAGATTCGTGGCGTTAATCAAGATGAGTCAGGGTGGTTGGATTGTGTGATTAGTACAGACGATGCCTTAGGGATCGTTCGTAACCTGTAGTTATAAACTAGTCATTTTCATAAATGCGTGATTGTAACCACTCACAAACCCTAGTTAATCCAATGTCACCTGGGTAATCAAAAACATTCGTCGTATCGGTATAACAATAAACAAGTCATGTAATTTGCGTATTGGGAAAACATCGGGTTTTCCCGGAAAGTTCGACATTTTCACCTGTGTGATGTATACAAAGTTCAACAAATATACATGTTTTCAAAATCGACAGGCATATTTATGGATCTTCACACTTTTTTTTATAAACAAATACTCTTTTCAGAAAATATCGGATTTTCTGGGTTTTTCAAACTTCACAAAAATCATTTTTCCATAACAATACTTATGAACTCACCAACATTTCATATGTTGACATTTTTCAAAATAACTTGTATTCTCAGGTAACAGGTAAGCCATAGAATAATTACCAAGTCATGTCATGGTGTTTTGCTTAAGCTATCTATTAGACATTCTATGTTATGGAATTGTAACGTTTAAACAATGTACTAAATGTAAACAATATCAGTTGTAATATTCCAATG